AAGAGCTCGTTCAAATACTGAGGTGCTAAACCATTCAGGGCTTTATAAGTAATAAGCAAGATTTTAAAATCTATAAGATGTTTAATAGGGAGCCAGTGCATTGTTGACAGAACCGGGCTAATATGGTATGGTCATACTTCCTGGTTCTAGTAAGAACTCTAGCTGCTGCATTTTGGACCAGCTGGAGTTTGCTTATTAAGCACTTAACATTTCTGCATTTGACAGTGAGAACATAGGTCGTAATTTAGATATATTTTTGAGATGAAAAAATTAAGTTTTACAAATGCTAGAAACGTGGCTTTCAAAGGAAAGATTGCTATCAAATAGCACACCTAGGTTCCTAACTGATGACAAAGAATTGACAGAGCAACCATCGAGACTTAGACAGTGTTCTAGGTTGTTACATGCAGAGTTTTTAGGGCCGATAATTAACACCTCTGTTTTTTCAGAATTTAGCAGCAAGAAATTACTCATCATCCAGTTTTTTATATCAACTATGCATTCCGCAAGTTTTTCAAATTGGTATGTTTCGCCTTTGTAACTCTAATGAGAGCAGTCTCAGTACTATGATACGGTCTAAATGTGTATGTGTGTATATATATATATATATCCTAAAAATTATCCTGAAAAAATGCAAAATCTAACTTGTTTTAAGAATTTGTGTAATGAGTTGGAATGGATATTCCTTAGTGAGATTTGCTTCATAAAGCAAGTTCAGTTTTTGTTTTTGTATAATTGTTACTTTTTTTATGTTTATGGCAAAAAATAGAAATGTTCATCTGATGAAATCCTGTTTGATTTTGTATATCGATTTGCTGCTCACCACAGATTCAGAGACAGTTGATTGTAAAATGCACAATTAGTTAATATTCTAATAAGCAACTGAATGACTAAAAGAGTTTTATACTGTTAGTATTGATCAGTTTGTTTTATATGTGCTGGTAATTACCACAGCTGCTACTTTCCTTCAGAAACTGAATGGCTCACCACACGGGTAACCCCACTAATAGTCTTGTGAATGCTCCTTTGTGGCTTGTTAATATTTTGCATTCACCTTTCAATATGACAGACATCAAAACCACAACGCTATTGTTATGAGCAGCTTTATGAGTGTTGTTCATGACAAAACCCTCTTACCAAAAATGCAGTTGCTGCAATAATCGTGTATGTAATGAGTATATATTCTGTAATATCAGCACTACAGGAAAATCACACCAAACCTTGTAACACACACAATATTTTTTATAAGGAATATGAATTTTACTTTTTGTTTACTTTTGTAGCTGAATATTATATACAGATCATTTGCATCTCTCCTTCATCACCATTACATTTCATCAGGTTATTATGGAACAAAAATAATACATTCTACCTGTTTTTTACTTTGTTGAAATTTCGATGATGTTATTTTTATTTTATTCTTTCAAACATACTGTGATGAGATTGAAGGCTCTGGTAGTGTGAGCCTAGAGAGAGAAAATATGATTACAAGAAGTAACATTTTCAAAATACAAATTTAATCCTGACATTTTTGGGCACAAAATGGAACGGTTTCCTAAAAATGACCAAAATGCGTAAAGCTGTATTCACATGCCAATCTTTTCTCAGTCATTTCTGCCGAACTGCCTCGGAAAGTAAACAAAGACTGGAAAAGAGAGAGAGAGGGGAAAAAAACTTTAGAAATTATACTTGAAAACGCATTCAGATGTATTCCTTTCGCACAGCAATCCCAGACCTATATTTCTTCATCATCTCCAGACACCCAGAGACAAAAGCCATCTTTATTTGAGAGTAACAAGACACAGAGTTTGAACACGGAGCTGTGTGCACTTTATGAAAGCATTGTGAATACACTCATTAAATTAAACATGACAGCAATGTACAAGAGTACTGTTTGAAACTTCACTGCGCACTACATACTATTTAGTGTATAGTATACTGTACAGTTTGCAGTAAGAGCTAATATTCCATTGTGCACATTTCTCCATCGATGACATCCTCCCTTCTTTTCAGGGTCCATAGAGTCAAAGCAACAATTCTGAATGGCACTTAAAGGATCTCTCACTGACTCTAAGTGCATATGGAGCATCGGTTGAGTGTAACTCATCATGATTGTCTGCTAGCGAGCAGAGGTCAAACTATCTGCCCACATCAATACAACTCAGATCAGATGTTCCGCTGCACGCTTTGCTGTGTGCCACATGACACTCGACCTCATGCAGGCAGCATCACATCAGAGCCTGTGAGGCAGACAGACAGGAAGTAGATCGGCTCCCCTTCCTCTTTCTCAGTGTGTGTGTGTTTATGCAAAGATCTGAGATGGAATAACTGGGGGTTTCCTATAAAACAGGGCCACATGATGTCCACAGCCATCATTGCCTGAAAGAAGGAAGGGGCTTGACTGCATTTTCAGTAGTGTTTCTCTACCGATATTACGTCACAATCACGACCCTCTTCTTACGACACCAGACAGGCAGATCTTTCCCCACAGTTTATTTAGGCCTTCAACTAAGCAGCTCTCAAAAGACCAAAAAAAAAAAGGGTCGCAGGTCTGTTGTGATAGTCGGCAATGACAGGAAAAACACAACAGCAAAACCAAATAAAAACATAACAACAGACAATCATGCATAGGCTAATTAGGATAGCAGAATAAACGGGCTCATAGTCTTTCAAAAGGGAAGGAAAGCACTTCTCTATCTGTTGTTGATGTCCAGTCAAACTGTGAAAAAGATTTCCTTAAGCTTTACAGCATCACTGACAGCCATGAATAAAAATAATGAAGTTAATTAAGGGTTGTTTGAACCATTTTGGGTATTGACTTATTGGCTGCTGGGAGCATGAAATCTCTCATATTCAAAAGATGCTTATAGAAACCAAAGTCATTTTTCTATTCAGTAACATCAATGATATTTATGTTATGGAAAAGATTACTTTTTCCCTTCGTCTTCAGAGAAAATGTGCTCAATAAACTCTGGACGAAGTGGGTCGAACATGAAAGGCCACTACAGCCAGACTTTGTGGAGGTTTAAAACAAATGACCCTTCCCTCCTGAATGAAAAATGTCATTGTTATCTCCCATACACATCTTTTCCCTACTACACATCAGAAACGAGTCGATTTTCTCCCACAGTCTCCATCATAAACCAAGAACGAACATTTAACATCATTTAGTTTGTAGTTTGATTAAGTATACCTTTGACCTCCCCTGAATTGTAACACTTATTATTGCTATTAATATTATTATTTTATTTATTTATTTGTTATATTTTTATTTAGTTCACTTTCTTTATTTTTGTATTATGTAAAAAAATGAATGTAAGTAGGCAGAATAAAATGTAAGTACATCTGTTTTGAAATAAATACTGTTGTTTATCCTGCTACATCAAAATAAAGAATTTCCAACAAAAAAAAATGTAATAATAATAATAAATATATATATATATATATATATATATATACAGTGGTGTGAAAAAGCCACTGTGTGTGTGTATATATATATAACATACTAAATCAAGTGGAAGATTGGAACGTGGATGAATCACATTAAATAATTGTTAATTGGCCATATATGAATGCCACTGTACATTTACACTCCAACTCTTCAAGCAGCGTTTTGTGCAGATATTACGTGTTTGAGCGTCGGTTCTCAACGTCGTCTCGCGCTCTGTCTGTCTGTGTGTCTCTCTCTGTCTGTCTCTGTGTGTGTGTGTGTGTGTGTGTGTGTGTGTCTGT